GTTCTGCACAGACTGCTGTTACCATTCCAGGGCACTAGGGGCGCTGTTGCCTTTTCTTTCCATTGAGCCATTGAACTGAACTGACGTAGCGAAAAAAAACCATACAAATCTGTCACGGAGTCATCGGTGACTGTAGCAGCTACAAGAATGGGTCATTTAAACTCGGACATTTTTGTACGTTTTTCACCAGCCGTGTTATTTATTTTATCGTGTTTATTTGGGCTCTCTGTCGGGACGGAACTGAGCTCTGTTACATGCGGTTCAGTCATTAAACTTTTGAACGTAAAGCACAATGTGAGACTTCACTCTCACGATGTTCGCTACGGATCCGGTAAGTTTTTTCTTTTCTTTCATATTTATATAATGATGTGGAGTAACCCGTCTAATATTMGCTTTTGTAACTTTTATCTGTATAWATGGGTCTGAATTACCAAATCAACTATTAATATTGGATTGTAAGGAATGACATGTCCTGTTTAGTTCATTCTGACCTCATTCAGTGATAGCATTGTTTGCTAAATGATAAAAGATGTGATTATTTGTTTGGGTGATGAATTGAATTAAAGATTCAGTTTGAGATATAAATGGAGTAGAACTAGACGACAGTAAACATTTGGATTTGTGTTAAACCTTCAAATGAACCACAGGATGAGGTATGTAAACCAAGTTCAAAGCTGGGCCCAGGCTGAGGTATAATAAGACTTTACTACACTAAGTTGTGTAAAAACTTGGTATTTTTTCTGTATAATGATTGTGAGTTGCTGTAACATTTTTTAAATACAGTGCTCACACTAAACATTCAGAGAGGATCATTTTGTTATTAATAATTAATTAGCCTCTTTTGCTGCAGTGTATGTGTTTGTTCTTTTGACCTCCTGTATCAGTCCCTGTGTGTGTGAGACAGGCAGTGGACAGCAGTCCGTCACCGGCGTCTCCGTGGTGGAGGACAGTAACAGCTACTGGAGCGTCCGTGGGACGAGCGGCGCCTCGTGTCGCCGCGGGACCCCGGTCAGGTGTGGGCAGACGATTCGCCTGACTCACGTCAACACGGGACGCAAYCTGCACAGCCACTACTTCACCTCTCCACTCTCCTCCAACCAGGTGGGTGCTGGGAGACGTCTGTGAAGGAACAAGGGATTTTAGTGTCAAAAGAGGATTATCCTTCGAGCTCACTGCTGATTGGTAAAGGATATTAATGTGTAAAGGAGGCATTATAATTTCTGGGCTAATTAAAAAAAAGCTGATTATAGAAAWGCTTCAGAAATGTCGCTGAGATGAAGTGTGGTAAAAGTAGATGTGATTCAYATTTTGTTAAACCACATAATCGATTCTTGATTAATTGTTAAATCTTTAGTTTGAAAGCTTGTTTATTTTGCTCTGCTGTGGTCCTTTGTCTTTGCGTGTCTGCAGGAGGTGAGTGCGTTCGGCGAGGAAGGAGAAGGGGACCACCTGGACGAGTGGGCGGTTCAGTGCGGGGGGTCCGTGTGGAGGCGAGACGAGGCCGTCCGTTTCCGTCACAAGTCCACCGAGGCGCTGCTGTCGGTGACGGGGGAGCAGTACGGACGGCCGATCCACGGTCAGACGGAGGTTCACGCCATGTCGGGCCCAACGCAGCACAGCCTGTGGAAGGTCATGGAGGGCATCTTTATAAAGCCCAGCGAGACCCCCACAGGCGCCAGAGACTCCAGTCACACACACCGAGTTCTGAGCTTCACCTCTCTCTGCCTCGCTCTCCACCTGTTTTCTGCCCTGGCCAACAATCCACCTTCCTTTTTCTAAAAAATAAAAACAACTCATCTGGACTTGGACATGGAAATGTAGATCTTAAAACACAAAATGTTTTAAAAGATTCATGTCAAGTCAAAGAAAAGCTGCTTTCTGCAGACAAACATTCACCAAGTGAATCTTGTATCTATTTGGACTGAAAGTATTACACCTGTGCCTTTAAGCACCTGGAAAATGTGTCAAGCTTTAAGCTTTTTAAAACATGTTTTTTTTTTTTTTGTAATTTCTTTAAGTCGTATTGTTCACAACAGTTAAAACAGTGTTCCTAAAGATACGCAGCAGTATTGTTTGTGATGAGTTTAAGGAACTGTTTATTGTCAGCGTTTGATTAATTATTGTGTTTGTGCAATGATTGTGGAAGCAAATGTGTTCAGAAGAGCATCAAACTGACAGTGAATACCTCAGATTAAAGTGTTTTTTTTTCTGCATCAATTTGACTTTTTTTTATTGGAGTTTAAAAGGACATAAAATCTCTAATTAAAGAACTTGGCAGTAAAGAGCAGACCTGAGCAGAGTGTTTGGTGTCTGTCTGCACGACAAGTGCAAGATGAAAGACGAGCAGGAAACTTCAAYACTAATTATTAGAAGATATTTAGAGTTTTTGTGTTTGTTGAAGCTGATAAATAATTCAGTTGTTGATTCCCAGAGAGAATGAATTAAATTGAGTCCTGCGGTTTTAGTTATTTTGCTAACAGACACAAAAAAGCACAAAAACATTTACATGATCACCCGCCTCCTTTCATACAGCAGGAATAATTCATTTGCTCAGGTCTCATCTACTATTTTATTTGGAGTTTTTATGAATGGAAGTTAATTTTTATCAGCTTTTTTAAATTATTTACAGTAAAAAAATTGCATCATTTGTAAACTTTGAAGTATTGCAGTTTTAGATTAATAGATCCAGATTCTATGTTTATAATACGGTTTGAGGAGTTCCTTAAAGCATTATAATAAAAGTCATTTTTTATAAAAATAGTTCTGCTGTTWTTACATGCAGCTGCAGCGGGTATTCACTCAGCTGCTCGTTTAATTAACTTAAAAACGGTGAAATTGTTATAAATATAAATATCAGACTTGWAACTAAGTACAAATACTTCGTTACTGTACTGTAGAAATTTTGGGGATCTGTAATTATTTTTCAGCCTACTTTCTACTCCTTACATTTTTTAAAAGGTAAGAAGTAGAAAGTCATTTCTCTTATTCTGTTTTGGCTTGTTACTGTTAAAAAATACTATCCTGAAAAATTGTGCATCCAGGATGAATTTAATTATAGTTGGATGAGAAATATATACCATTCTGGTACTGTATTCATTTTTACACAATCCATCACAGCTGCATGTTTTTAGAAAAACTTTTTTTTTGGAGGTCACCTCCCAATGAATGTATTTTGGGAAATCAAACTGCTCATTTTTACTCAACACTTTTACTTTTAATACTTAAGTAAATTTTATGCCAGAAATTTACTTATGATAAGTAAAAAAATCTGATACTTTAAGACTTTTATTCAAGTAATATTCTTAGAGGAGTCTTTAACTTTTACCAAAGTAATTTGATGATAGTGTACTTGTACTCAAATATCACTTTGAGGTACTTTATACAACATTGATAAATATCTAACTTGTTTTTATTGAAAAAAAATCTAATTTGTCTCCTTGAACTCTCTTATCTTCTACATCTTTTATGATTAAGTATAATAGTCAAGCTGCATGTTGTCTTATTTCAAACTAAATTAGTTTTATTTAAATATAAAAAGTCTCAACTATAAAATTGTTTGGACTCATAAAAATAATTATTTAAAAAAAGTATAATTCACTGTGTTCATTCATAATTAATAAACCATTTATAACATTTCAATTTGTTTTGTTTCCAGAGATTTTACTTATCTTTCAATGTAAAAAAAAAAACATGCAATGCAAAATAAAAACAATAACAAGACATTTATATAAAAACAAGATTTTATTGCATAAACATATATAGGTGTATATTTATTAATTCCTTTCTCTTTTTTTTTAGATTAAACAGGTTAAACTTTTGCATTTTAAATATCCGTTCAGTTGGTAACTATTGCTGTTTTCTTTCTCCGTTTCTAAGCAGCATGCCAAAGTTGTTTTACATATGTGTTAATTTTTTTATATAATATATAAAAGGCTATATATTTATCCCTACACAATCTACAGTTGGTAAAAACATGTTTTGGTAAAAAGAAAGGTTAAAAACCATGAAAACCATGAGCTGGTCCTGCCCTGTTGCAGATGTGTAACAATGTAAACTTTAAAAGAGAGGAAAACCCCTCACTTGGTCATGCAGTGGAACTGTTGGAGGGAGTTGAGACAAACGCTGGGTCCAGATGGACCGTAAGACCCGTGTGCTGAGAATTAAGACAAATCGACTCATGAGGGGGTTTGTAGGAGACTATGAGGCAGTGAGGAGACTGTATTTAAAGTAAAAGTGACAAAAACACATATCAGATCCACAGCGAGGCCCACAGAGAGCTAATGTCAATCAGAGATGATGATGATGTAACCTTGTATTTGCATATTTATGAAAATGCCCTCTTTCCGCTCTCTGATTTGATTAATCGCTGGTAAATGGCTATTACAGTAGAAACAGGAAAGTCAAACGTGTGACAGTAGTTCATACATAATTACACTGAAATCAAGGCTGTGCCACCAAAAACCTAAAAGGAAAAAAAAAAAACCCTGAAAGAGTTGGATTCTCTTTCATTTAACATGAAAATCTAAACAACATGCAGAACAATTTACAGTAGTATACATGTTTACCACGACCAGACAAAGATTGGTTTGTTCTTTTCACAAAATCATTCAAATAACTTTCATGTTTGCAGTTTTTCTTAAATTAGACAAAAGAAAAAGAATGGGGCAGTTCAGGTTGTATGTGGAAAGATTATAAACAATCAATGTCTTACCTGCTGTTGATAGTGAGTCAAAAATGGATTCCTGCCTTCTTAATAAATGATTACAATCTGAAAAAACGTAAGTATTTCATACAAATAAGCTCTGATATAAATTTGGTAATTTATGCAGAATCCTGGTTGCAAATAGCAGCTAGCTRCAGAACATCCTGTGCAGGCTTGAGTTACATGTTTGGATGTTATGATTTATGTTTTCCCATTTTAGATTCATTGGTTGTTAATTTCCATTGGAATTGACTTTGTTAGATATTCTTTGTACCTTTCCAGGATGTTTTAGTTTCTCTTCAGCTTCGCTGTTAGACACACCTGTTATTCATTTAGTAATCTTCTCATCCACTGTTTTTTTTTATTTTTATAATTGTTATAATCCTCACTTCTGGTTTTGTTTGAAATATTTTGGATTTATACCTGCCTTCATACCAACAACAAATCCATTACACCTGGGACATTTTTATTTCTATCAGAATATCTTATAATGTGAAATTGACAAAAGTGTATATAATTATAAAATAGTTCTCACATAAATTATACATTTTTTTCAGATTGGAGTTAATTTAAGATAAAGATGATCCGCTTTGATTTTAGTACCACCTAGATTAACTGTTTGCTCAACAAGTCTGTCAGAATTAAACAATTTCTCCAAAGTGAGAGTGTTTAAAAGCTATCTGCAGCAGGTAAGATGATAGCTGTTTATAGCCTTCCTCAGTTCAGGTGAGCTGAACTACTCCTGTAGTTTACAGTCCAATATTATGTCAAGGGAGCATTGTGCAAATAAATTCGGATAAACTGATGTTCTGATGTAAAGTCGGGAGCAATGAACAGATGCAGCACCACATCTGCAAATTTAATTTAAATATTGCTCCATGCACTTATGGGAGTCTAAAAACTTGGAAATTTGCTTGAATATTCAATTAATTCTTAGACATTAAATAAACATGTCACAATCAGAAATGATTCTGCTTAAAAGGCCACATTTTAAAAGAACAAAGGGTTTTGTCATAAGTAACTTTGATGGATTTGACCAAAATTCACTTTCTTTTCGATTCCAACCATAAAACAAACCCTCAGGTGTTGCAGAACAGCAGGCATATTTTTATTATCCAGGACTGAGCTGCAAAGTGTGCGTTGTGGAGAAAGATGAATTCTTCACAGAGGCAGAACAAACTAAACTTGCAGCAGTGACACAGAACAGATGAGAGCTCAGTTTTACGAAGGATTCTAGCTGCAGTTTTTCATTTTCACCACTAGAGGGAAACCTTTCCCCAAGAACATTTCAGCTCTCCTGTCTCTGGCAAAACTCACTATATTTGTCCTTTTATACATTCTGCTTTTTGAGAGGAGTAATACATTACACAAGCTAAGTAGCACTATATATACAGGGAAATCCATGGGGAGGTAATGGCAGTGTATATACAAAACTGGCATGCTTTTATTTTTACCAACGTGTTCTTTTGTGATGCTGAGATRAAACTCGTTTTCTTTGTTTTTTCTTCTTCACTTCCTGATATTTTACACCTCTCAGGCAGCATGAGCGACTCATATATGCGCACAATACTGTCTTTTACGCACCACACAAGTGCAGCATGGCTAATCCGTCAATACTGAAGAGCGGCAGCAGAGCAATGGCTCTTAAGTGGTCCCTCACTGAGTTTCAAGTTGTGCTTCCTCCAGATACATGTAAAGATTTTCTCATATGTTGTACACAGAGCAGACTGAGCTGAGGATGTATAAATGCTCCACAAAGAATGTGACACTGACACACAGCTACATGAAATGTGAAGAATCTGCTGTGACCTTTAGTGCTCACATCCACTCAGTCCACCTTTTGGAGGGAAAAGACGCCGTCGTCAGCAATCATTGTGTTGCTCTTTTTTTAAAAACTAGGAATAGCTCAAAGCACCTGAAAAACACCCAGAATAAGAAAATCAAGTTTAAAGGGTGGTTTTTGGTCAAAAAAACAGCAAAGCAATTTCTGTTCAGTGTCATTTTATAAAACCCACATTTCTGTTTCGCAGTTCAGGTTTCTTGTGAGTCCAAGTGACGTTTCCATTGCTGAACATTTCATCCACTTCACAAAGAAAGCAAATAAACAAAACCAATAAATAAATAAACTCAACTTTTTTTTTCTTTAAACGAAGTTGGTCCAGCTTTGGCTGCGAAGACAAATACGTGAGGTCATGGCTGTTTTTGGTCCACCTCCCATGCTCACAGTGCAACTGTTTTTGTTTTTTTTCTTTTCACTCCATGCCGTTTCGCAGCATCTGATTGGCCGCGATGAGCATGACACTGATGATGAAAGCCATGGCGAAGGCGCAGATCAGGCTTTTCCTGACGCACGTCTGCCGGTTCTTCTTCTTGGGATGGACTGTAATATGAAAAAGGAACAAATGAGTGTTATTTTGTTAACAAATGCTGTTTAATGACGCGTAAAACTCATTTAGCACATTCTGTTCTGCACTTCTAGACCTGAAGCATTGGCAGATGTTCACACAGGTCCTGAAAGGAAATAAAAGATCCAACTGTTTAATAAAAAAATAAATCCAAGTTAGCCAATCTAATCTGAGAGCCAATGAAAAATACCTTGTGTGAAAATAAAAATGGAGCCAAGTAATTTCAGCCAATGAGAAACAGAAGGCCTTCTGKTTTAAATAAACAGGCATCTGTTGAACTTCACAGCATATTTATGGAAATTCATTATTACAAGAACAATGCATGCTTTAAAGGAAGTCTAAAACTGATGCTAATTAGACCAAAAAAGATTACAGTCTCTACAGGGTGAGTCAAAAGTCTCAGGACACCCTTTTATTTCAGAAACRTAAAATGCAGTTGTCAAAAGTCCAGACAGAAAGCAATGTTACATGGTCAATTTTCACCCGCTTCAGATGTTATCCTTTAAATGGACGTTATTAGCCGTTATCAGTCCCATAGAATGGCTTCAAATTGTCAGCTGGTTAGTATGAATCATAAAACCACTAAGGTTTTTTTATGTAATCTGGTTAATATGAGGCATAAAACCACTAAGGTTTTTTATGTAATCTGGTTAATATGAGGCATAAAACCACTAAGGTTTTTAATGCAATCTGGTTAATATGAGGCATAAAACTGCTAAGTTTTTTAATGCAATCTGGTTAATATGAGGCATAAAACCACTGAGGTTTTTTATGTAAAGTGGTTAATATGAGGCATAAAACAACTAAGGATTTTTATGTAATCTGGTTAATCCATCCATCCATCCATCCATTTTCTGTACACGCTTCTTCCTTTATGAGGCATAAAACAAATAAGGTTTTTTATGTAATCTGGTTAATATGAGGCATAAAACCACTAAAGTTTTTTATGTAATCTGGTTAATATGAG